TATGATCACAGATCCCACAGGCCATAGTGAAAACTGCCCAGCATAACTTCACATGCCAGATAGGCATGAATGGATAGATGTGTGTATTTGCATGTGTTAGTGTATCCATGGTTAGTTGAGACCTGTGAATCTGCTTTTGTTTTTTGGATGAGTCAAATGTGTGCAAGTCCCCAAATCTTCCACCAGTTTTGTTATCCCCATGAAATCAAGCATCCATTTTCATGAGGGTGCTTGCTCAGAGCTGTAGAGGGACCTGAAACCAAAAATACTTGGAATAAGTTTTTTGCTGATACTGTCACCTCAGACTTTTAACTGCGGATCCTTGGTAAAGGAAACTGCCTGGGCATGACTGCTCATATAATTTGATCTGCGTTTGTATGCCATGAACAGCAGCGCATTCAGCTAAAAAACCTCCTGGTAGTGAATTTAATCAGGAGGCTGGTGGCCAGATCTGGCGCAATGAAACTCCCAGTTAAGGATGTCTTCAGCTTCAAATGTTCTGCAGGCTGATGTTTGGGGACACAGGGTTCAGGAAGGCCAACACTCATAGTTGCCCCACTGAGAGAGTTGCTCAGAGTTGTAATCATGCATGTTGTAAAGAGCCGTGTGAGGTTTTGAGAGACAAATCTGGGAGTGCCTTTGATTACAGGTAACCAAAATCAGAATCTGCCCACTGGGCTTAAAAGGACTCAAACATAAAACTGAAGCGTTAATGCATGATGAAGATACATAGCTGAAACATCTCTGCATTTTTCCCCACTGGTCTGATGTTTAACAATTTGAACTAAACCCTTTTTTATGTGTTTTGCATTTTTACCTTCTGTGCACGTTCACTCCCCTTTTTTGTCTTTAGTTGTATGCATGGGGAAATTTTTAGCTGATGGAACACTGTGACCGCTCAGACTCAGGCCCAGATATTCAGAAAGCTCAGCAGTGGCAAGGTGGAGGAGTTTATGCTGGAAAGGACACCACAGTGCATTAGGACACCACTGCTTCTTCAAAATAAAAGTTGAAGCAGTGCAGACATGATCAAGAGATCTCCCTAAGAAGGTATTCATGTCAGCTGAGAGGAGGAAGCAACAACTAGAGCAAGGTGATTATACTAGACAGTGTTTCATTGTATCAGAGTTGTTCAGATTGGGGTCAATTTGTAAACGAACATCTTATTGACAGGATTCTGAGATCTTTATTTGAATTTGTAACTGACACTGTACTGTAGTACAGTACCTAGCACTCTTTAATACTGTTTAACCCAGGTCTGAAGAGTGAAGAGATAAGGTGTGCAAACTGCAAATGTGGTGCTAATACAGTGTGGTACCACCACTTAAAGAACATGTAATGAGTTGAGGGATGATGTAAGCTGATAAAACAGTGGGTGACACAGACATGCAAGCAGATAGAAAGAGCTAGAAAGGAGTCAGATACCGTTGATGTATTTTAAGGCTGCAGTCTCCTCTCTGTGACCCTAACATCAGAAGATGGATGCTGAGAGGTGAAGAGAGAGTCAGCCAAAGCTCCAGACCAACTGCTGTGATCTTATACACAAAGTTCCCCAAACTCTATTAAATATGTCACGCTGCTGCTCTCTCTTTACTTCCATCTATTGTTGGTGTCTATTGTTTTCTCTCTCTCCCCTCACTTGTACAATGTGATGGCAAGGTCTGGAAAGGCGGTGAACAGAATTGTGCTGCGTGTGTGTGTGTATGTGTGAGGGCGGAGAAGTGTAAATGAGGAAGGTGAGGTAGCAGATGCCACGTCCCGCCAGAGGCTCACTTTGAGCAGCGAGTGAAATCTGGGCGCGACAAAACTGCTGCAAACCAACACGGCGGGAGGCCCTTGTCCAATCACGGCCCGGAATAAAAGGGCCGGGGCGCCACGCGGGCTGCAGTCGCTCAGGAGAGGTGGGGGCCATAATGAACCTTCAAGCGCTGCCAGCGAGCACACATGCACTTGAGCACAG